GCCCTACAAGCACACACACGTGCACTTTTAGTGGTTTTTATAGTTACCCATTTCCATAAAGTTAAGAACTTACTGATAAGATCATTTTAATGCAGTGTGGATTGCACTGCCCAGGCATGAGCATTTCCAGCATTGTCAGTTTAATATGGAAGAGATCATTGAAAACAGGAATATTCGGAAAAATAGAACTTCATTTGTTATCATAGGCTTATGTTTCACTGTCTTAAATGTTGTCACTTAAAACCTACTTCCAGTGACTTAAGTGTCAGTAATCTGCAACACAGTTCCCCTGTAACTGCTATCATGCTCTGGGCATGACTCATAACGATGGCCCAAAATGTTCACTGTATTGCTTTAAGGACTTTTTTTTGTTGCTTTTCTTCTCTCTCAGATCAGAGGGGAGCATTACAGCCTGAGCCCCCATAAAATGTCTAGCCAACACCTAGTAATTCCTTCAGTCAGCGTATTACGTTTGCTGTTTTGCTCCAGACACAGAACTGTTCAAGACTCCAGGCTTATTTTAAAGCCACAACAATTGCTCAGAAGGGCAGAATATCATCTCTGAGCAGAGATGATGCCTCTACTTCTCCTTTTCCCAACAGGTGCATAATCTAAGCAGGCACAGACATTCAGCCTTCCTTTGGGATATATGAAAACGTTGATAGGAAATAAAGTGGTCCTTTACCCTTCTTTACAGGACCTGCCTATATCGCTATTCAGGCAAGCCAATACCTTTCAAATCACTTACACTGTGAACACAGACTGTAAACGACTTCCTCGGCGGTCCTTGCCTTTAACGCCAAAACAAGATCTAGCGCACTTTCAACCTGAAGCAGTTCTGCTTCTCCTATCAGGCTGTTTCCTTCTGCTCTCTATTCATTTAACCCTCCTAGCCTCTGCACGGGCCTTCTGCTTGAGCTACCACCTGAGCAGGATTTCATCTTCTCCAGGATCCCTGCCTGGCATCACCTCCAGCCCCTTCCCTACAGCCTCACCAGAGCCATTTTTCCGGATCCCACTGAGGAGGAACAGCAACTATTTTTAGGCTGTGTCGGTATGCTCAGCAGAGAGGAATGTGGCCGAGAGCAGGGCTTGCCGGGAAGAGAGGAGACGGTCTGAGGGTAGGCGCCTACCGCAGTCCCACCGGCGCTGCGGCGCAGCGCTGCCCACAGCCAAGCAGCAGCAGACGCAGGTCATGAGACATCTACCTGCAGCTCAGCTGGGGCCGCGACCCGGGGGAACAGCGCGGTCACACAGCTCGGCTGCCTGTCCCGGGTGCGTCTCCCTGACCTCCTCCCGTCCCTCATCTTTGTCCGAGCACCGGCAATGCCGGACGTTGGCTCCGACGGCGCGCCCCGGCCCCACAGCCAGCGCAGCCCTCTCGGGGC